TTTTCTTTTTGGCCGGAAATTTTTCCACTTTAATCACGAGTGCTAATCGCACTCCCCCCTCTCCTTTCCAATCAAGCAACCACCACCTTGATGTACCACAATATCTATTTAATTCCCATATTCCATGCTCATAAATGAATGGTAAATCAATCCTCGCAACTGTACGTGCATAAGGATACGGATCTCGATCATTTAATTTCGTGTTGATTTCTACACCAACCCAATATTTTAGCCAACATCACTTCGAAGAAGAGCCTCAAAAGCGCACGTACATGAACCCCCACGACGATTCCACGCCTCAGCTAACCCATATTCCCCACTAACAAGATGTCGAAGGAGATTGATGAAGCGATTAAGCTAAGATTAAATTTGAAGTGGCGACACTATTCTTGTGGACCTTATCTTGAAATATTAAATGCGGGAGCATCGCAGAACATGCACGGCATGTGAACTCATCAATTGGTCACTTTGTGTCCAAGGCAAGACAAGAGCCCTTGAATTGTATAATGTGGCCTCTGTCTCTCTCTAACCTGTGACTGTGTGTGATTTTTGGGCATCGATCAGTACAGGATTGATTGCTGTTGATCGGCCGTCGTTCCGATTATATTGACAGCTAATCAGCCTAATCTGATTGTTATCGAAGGAAAGATGGGGAAGAAACGAAAGAGAAACAGCTAATCTGATTGAATTTCTAAACTAATGTAACTTAGAAAATGAAGAAAGCATAGCATAAAATTTTTAATTAAAAAATTGTCTGAATTTGAGATCCTTGGACTAATTAAGGGAGAGAATACCTTAGTGCGGTTGATTTAGTATTCGACAGATTTGTGATGCCATTTCCTATAATTAACTACCACGATGGTGTACACATTTTACATAATGTATTTGGTTTAGGATGGGTCTCCTTGAAAAGTATTCGAGCACTTGGGCTCCGCTTGTTTTGCAGGAAATATTTTCCTCATTTTCCGGCGTTTGGTTCGCTTAGGAAAATGAGTTGATGGGAAATGTTTTCTTGGTCAACGGAAAATATATGCTTAAATTCAGAAAAATAATTTCCTCTTTGAAAAAGTCGGAAAGTATTTTCCAAAATATGACTAGGTATCGGCGCTTGGACCAGAAACTTTAGACTTGAACACAAGAACCCCAACGCTGGTTTCTCGAGTCCCTAGCGTTCGAGACTAGGTATTCGGCGCTCGGGCCATCTAGGCCGAGCCCGAAGCCCTGGTGCTCTTGCTTATGCTCAATGACTCGGCACCTAAGCGCGGGTGCATAAAGGCCATGCTCGGGTCCCCAATGCTCAAGCTCGGGTCCTTTGCACTTAGGCTTGGGTCCACGAAGGCCGTGCTCAAGTCCTCGACGCTCGAACTCGGATCCTTTATTAATGAAACGTTCATTCTAATAAAAATATATTTTTTAAAAAAATCGATAGGATATGTCCGTTTATATGCACAAATAAATTCGCATTTTAATCCGACGATTTAAACTTTTAGGGTCAACGGTTGCCCACATAAATTCCGACTTTAATATGTCATAGCTCTGTTTGTTTTGCAGAAAATGAATTATTTGAAAAATATTTTCCCAAAAATCATTACTTATGTCACTTGAAATAATTAGTTAATAAAAAAATATTATCATTATTGGCAACAATTTATGTCTAAACATCTTTGTGAACGAGAGGTGAAAATATTTTCCGTTTATTCATTCTTACAAGCGATGCGAGCGGTTATTTTCAGGAAAATATTTTCCGGACCGTTCATTTTCCGTAAAATAAACTGAGCTTAAAACTTGGAGATTTTTCCACCCGTCTATGGATTTTTTTCAATGAATTAAACTACCTTCTTTTCTTTCGGAAACCTTACTTTAGAGGATGGCAATGGCAACGTTCTCTTTTTGGAAACCAACGCGAGCCGAGGCAAAAAACACTTCGGACCAATCCGGAAGCAAGCCTAGAGAAGAAACCAACGTAATTAAAAAAAAAAAAGAGGAAAGGGGTCAATTAAAACGCTAATCGCATCATTAGTGTAAAATCTCGACTAAATCAATTGGGAGTGCATGGGCATGCAAAAAGACCGAAGACTGAGACGGGGGGGGCGCACTACTTCTGGTAAGTGGAAAGTTAAAAAAGGCGATGGCGATTCGCGATTAGGGCGCGAGGGTCATTATCGGAATTTCGCCCCCGGGGGGTGGGTGAGGGCCAGGGGAAGGACACGTGCGGCGAATACGTGGGGGACGTGTGGGGGATCGTCGTCGCCGCCCGCCACTCCGTGACCCGACCCGTGACGAGCTTTGACCATGGATTCCCGCCCAATGGAATCGTCGCCGGAGCCGTGGGCCCCCCCCACCCACGCTCCACGTGTCGCTCCCTCGTCGATCCTCTCTCTCTCTCTCTCTCTCTCTCCTAGTTTTATTACCGATCGGCCCGCCCCCCCGCTTGTCCGCATCTTGCCGCCACGGCCAGCGTCGGAGGTCAAACTCCAAGGTTGAAAGTTTGAACTTTGAAGCGCGTGTTCGGTATAAGATGTAACCGCTTGCGACGTGGCAGTGTCTCGAAGCGTCGCAACTTCGTCGATTCGATTCGGCAACATGCCTTTTGAAATCGGATCACCGTAAATCTAGGCGAGACCAGCTTTCCCAAAAGCTACCACAAGTTGCCCTCTCGCATAGGACTACCAGCCACGACTGAATTATCATGCCAACAATTTCCGACGGAAGTTGATCGCAAGGTCTATCTTTAAAATTTCATGCAAAGGTTCATGACTAAAACGACTAAATCCAAAAGGCCAGGACTGAATCGGCATCCGTACAATATGTAAATATGAAATATTTACATATGAAACCATACATTCATCTTATAATTTAATTTTTTATAACCGTAGGTGGCGGTCCATGAAATCTCGCAAGAAGCGTGCCCAAACCACACAAGATATTCTCTGCTACAGTTAGAGGCTTTCCAAGGTGAGAATTACTCGGTGGGGAGCAACGAAAATATCCGGGACATTGCCCGAAATCGAAGGCCGGGACGACGGTGGATGAAAAGGAGTGATCATAAATTTTTCCTTTTGTTGTCCCCCCTTTTTCACTTGGTCCCCCCCCGCTCCGTTGGGTCTACAGCTTTGATGGAGGATCCGCGATGCTCTGCGCCACCCATCTCCTTAACCAAAAGTCGACGTGTGGCCCCCCCACGACTCGAGTAAAAAAAGATGGGTCGCCTCTCATTTTGTGGCCTCGGTATCTTCCTTTGACTGGTAAAATAGTGGTCGACTTCGATCTCCCCCCTAATTAAAGTTGAAAATATTTCTGAAAAATCCTTTAGCGTGATTTTAGGGAAAATTGTCCATAAATCCGTCGGGTCGCCGCTCATTTTTACCAATTCAATTTTAAATCTTTCAATTTTACCAATTGAGTCATAATAAACATTTTCATATTTTGTCAGTTGGGTCTACTACACCGATGATATCATGTAAGACGGCGGTGCTGACGTGTAATTTTTTTTATTATAATTAGGGTACTAAGTCAAGCGATCTCATATTCTCTACAAAAATTTTGGACATGTGTCACGTGCCTTATTCGTATGTATCAATCTGTATCTCGACCACTATTCCAATCCCATGGGGTTCACAATCACTCTTGTTCTCTACTACACATCCAATATGGATTTATTTCCAATGGAACTCCGCCACCCCCGTCGTGCAGTAGTCGTCGTGGTTGTCTTCATCGATAGGCAATCACTTGCGCACCACCAATGAATTTGTCGAGTCGGAGCATCCCCAAAAAAATGTAAGTTTTGGTGACAAATTCTCTACCAAAGAACTAGTAAAAACGGGACAAACTAAAAGAGGGAGGAGTCGAACCCGAACCGAACTTAGCTCTATATATAAACTGATCCGGTCAGATACGCGCTCGAGATTTTAGGAACAAAAAACCACTCCTATGCCATAAGGCGCGAAAGAAGATTGATCGAATCGAATCGAAACCAACTCGACCCATAAGAATTATCATAAGACCATAAAAAAATAGCTATCGAATGTTGTTGTAAGGTGGTGGTGGTGGTGGTGGTGGTGGTCCGCCCGATTGTCACATGGAGGATGCAAGTAAAATATGCTGTACAAGATTCTCCTGTCCACGAAAAACCTCCACGGGAGACGGATGCGGGGCGGGAATTCGAAGTTGCTCCCATCGATGCAATCCAGACGCAAGAAGCAGCCATCGTCGATCTGTCGCCGCCATTAAACAATAACAACAGTTAAGAATAAACTAAAAATTATGTTAGGGGATCGCACGGTAATCTCTCCATCCCCCGAGCGCAAGAGCAAAAGACTCGGGTCCACGAGGTAGCTCGATACCGTCCCGTCACGATCCAACACTCTTAACTCCTCGTGACAAAACTTTAATACAGTGACAAAAAAAAAACAAAGATGTAACTTTAATATAAAAAATATGATATCTATTATACTTCAGTTACTACCGATAGAGGGAATCGATCTCTAACAAATGTTTTTGGCGGTAACATATTTTGTTCCGTGAAGCTAATAATTCAAAAGAGGGAAGGAAAATGTGTTTTTCACGAGACGAGACGGGCAATTTTTTTTCCTTTTTTTTTCGTCAGTGGGTAATCTTGTTTACGGATGAATGATTAAACTGCTTAACCGACCATAAAGATCGTTACATATAATAAGATACAACAACTCATTTTATTGTGAGCGCATGATCCCAATCGACCTTCAACTTAATCCGGACGTAGAGTTTTAATCACGGGCGTTAGGAGGGCGAGCGGGGGGGACCGGGCCGGAGATTTCGTGAATCCGACAAAGAGGGAGGCGCGTGCCGCGTGGCAGATTTTTTTTACTTCCCCTACCCTACGGCAGCAGAAGGGACGAGATAAAATAAAAATAAAAATCAAAAATAAAAAGGGGCACGAAACAAAAAGAAAAAGAAAATGAAAATTCTGGGCCAATTCCTTTCCTTCGTAACTGAATCACATTCTTTTTTTTTTTTTTTTATCTCTCTTTATCACCATCATCACCTCCTCCTCCTCCTCCTCCTCCTCCTCCTTGTTCCTCTCGATTTGGACAAAATTCAGTTTTCCATCATCATCATCATCATCTCTCTCTCTCTCTCTGCGGCTTGAACATTTCCACTCGCAGATCCGCCTTTGCAGTGCTCTGTTCAAACAAGTAACAACCAGCTCTCGCCCAGCTCTCTCTCTCTCTCTCTCTCTCTCTCTGTCTCTACTTCCAACACTTCACTCTTCAGTTATGGCCTCCATCTTCTTCGCCTCCCTCGCTACGTAACTGCTTCCCACACAACACTTCTCCGCTCGCGACTCATGCCGCCGAATTGATCGGAACCGGGGGATGCGCCGCCGGCGGGACCGCCATTGCTCCTCCTGCACCGGAGCTTGCCGACACTAGGGAGATCTCTCTCTCTCTCTTGCTCTCGCTCTCTCTCTCATGGGGGAAAGTAACCGCCGCGGCGAGCTTGTCCCCCTCCTCGCCGCCGCCGCCGCCCTGTCTCTCGTCGCGGCGGTTTCCGGCGTCACGGACGCGGGCGACCTCGCGATCCTGAAGAAGTTCCGGGACGGGCTCAGCAACCCGGAGCTGCTCCAGTGGCCGGCGGGGGGCGGCGGCGACGACGACCCGTGCGGCTCCAAGTGGAAGCACGTGTTCTGCGCCGGCACCAGGGTGTCCCAGATTCAGGTCCAGGGCGTCGGCCTCGAGGGCCCTCTGCCTCCTAATCTCAACCAGCTCACCTCGCTCTCGAACTTGGGCCTCCAGAACAACAAATTCAGCGGAGCGCTTCCTTCGCTGAGCGGGCTCTCGAATCTGCGGTACGCGTACCTGGATTTCAACAAGTTCGACTCCATTCCTTCGGATTTCTTCGTCGGCCTCGATAGCTTGCAGGTTGGTTCGAACGCTTCGCATCACTTCACCGACGCGATATTGCAGAATGTGTCGCTTGATTTTAGCTGATGGTTTGCTCGGTTTCTTTGATTTGGTGCAGGTTTTGGCATTGGACGGAAACCATTTAAACGGCAGCACGGGGTGGATGTTCCCGAAGGAGTTGCAGAACTCGGCGCAGCTGATGAATCTCACCTGCATCGAGTGCAATTTGGTCGGTCCGGTGCCGGATTTTCTCGGAAGCATGGCTTCTCTGCAAGTGTTGAAGTTATCAGGTAACAGCTTGACGGGTGGGATTCCTCCGAGTTTTGCTAACTCCAGTTTGCAGATTCTGTGGTTGAATAATCAAGGTGGTGGTGGAATGAGCGGACCTATGGATGTGGTGACTTCTATGGTCTCTCTGGCGAGTCTGTGGCTTCATGGGAATAGCTTCTCGGGATCGATCCCTGGGAACATCGGGGACTTGGTTTCTCTGAAGAGGCTCAATCTTAATGGTAATAAACTCGCCGGCTTGATTCCTGATAGCTTGATAGGCATGGATTTGGATGAGCTAGATCTGAATAATAATAACTTCATGGGTCCGACACCCAAGTTTAAGTCGCCTAATGCGACTTGCGCTTCTAATGCGTTTTGTTTGCCCACACCCGGAGCACCTTGCGCGCCGGAAGTTATGGCTCTCATAGACTTTCTTAGTGCGTTGAATTACCCTGCGAGGCTTCTTTCGTCGTGGGTGGGTAATGATCCTTGCCAAGGACCGTGGTTCGGGCTGAGTTGCACTAACAGAAAGGTTGCCATGATCAATTTGCCCAAGAACAATCTTAATGGCACATTAAGTCCGTCAGTTGCGAATTTGGATGCTCTCGCTCAGGTGAGACTGGGGTCGAACAATCTGGGGGGTTCAATCCCCGGTAACTGGACTAGTTTGAAAGGTCTGACGTATTTGGATCTAAGTGACAACAACATTTCGCCTCCGATACCAGCGTTCGGTAACTTCGTGAAGCTTCTAATTGATGGGAATCCTCTGGTAAAAGGTACCACCCCTTCTGCAGAGGCGAGCCCTCCATCTGGGGATACGAAGTCCCCTGGCGGAACTTCAGATTCCCCAACCAAAGGCTCAACTCCTGATTCTGGTAATGTTCCTAATACTGTTATCTCCAAAAAGCCGAAAAATTTGAAGTCTATTTTGGCAGTGATTGTCGCCCCTATTGCCAGTGTGGCAGCTCTCATATTCCTGGCTGTTCCTCTGTACTTCTATTGTAAGAAGAGGAGAGAAACATCCCAAGCTCCAAGTTCCCTAGTGGTTTATCCGAGAGATCCCTCTGATCCAGATAATATCGTGAAGATTGCAGTTGCTAGTAACACCTATGGCAGCACCTCACTTACGGGGAGTGGCTCTGCTAGCAGAAATAGCAGTGGATTTGGTGAGTCTCATGTAATTGAAGCGGGGAATCTCATAATATCAGTTCAAGTCCTTCGAAATGTGACGAAAAATTTTGCACGGGAAAATGAGCTTGGTCGCGGTGGCTTTGGGGTAGTTTATAAGGGGGAGTTAGATGATGGAACAAAGATTGCGGTGAAAAGAATGGAGGCAGGTGTAATTAGCAACAAAGCAATAGACGAATTTCAGGCTGAAATCGCAGTCCTTTCAAAAGTTAGGCATCGTCACTTGGTATCCCTTCTAGGCTATTCTGTAGAAGGAAATGAAAGAATACTGGTGTATGAGTACATGCCTCAAGGGGCCCTCAGCAAGCATCTCTTCCATTGGAAGAACTTCAAGTTGGAGCCTCTTACCTGGAAGAGGAGGTTAAATATTGCTCTGGATGTTGCCAGGGGAATGGAGTATCTTCATAATCTAGCTCATCAGAGCTTCATACACAGAGATCTTAAATCGTCGAATATTTTGCTAGGGGATGATTATAGAGCCAAGGTCTCAGATTTTGGACTAGTAAAGCTTGCTCCGGACGGAGAGAAGTCTGTGGTAACAAGGCTTGCCGGGACCTTTGGCTATCTAGCTCCAGAATATGCTGGTAAGCTTTCAATTATAGATTGTGTGTTTGTGCGCATGCGCGTGTGCCTGTGTCTGTAGCATGTGGAACCCTGGAAGAAGTGCATACTCTGCTCTGCATTATAAATCATATTAATCATCTAGAAAATAGAGTAAATTTCATTAAACATTTGAAGCGTGAAAAGTTTTCTTCTTGCCTGTCACAGTTAAGTTTAATACGTGACATCTACTTAATTGATTTTACAAGTTCATTACAATGGATCAATAGTTGTCTTGTTACTGCACCCTGCTACTCTGGACATTCAACTCTTTATGACTAGATTGAATTTATATAACAAGTATCAACCTTTACCCACATTGTGTGCATGCAAATTTTGGTTACAGATGAATTTCATGGCACTAAGTAGATTTCATAGCGGTGAGAAGCTGATTTCTCTTGTTATGAAAGTTTAATAAACTCGGAATTGTTTTCAGTTCTAAATTCTGCTTCCGCACTCTTTAAATTTTACTTCCTTTGACTCGTTTTTATCATTCATATCAGTTCTCATCAAATTCTAATTGCTCCCATTTCATGTACAGTCACAGGGAAAATTACTACTAAAGCTGATGTCTTCAGTTTTGGAGTTGTTTTAATGGAACTATTGACGGGATTGATGGCGCTTGATGAAGAAAGACCTGAGGAAAGCCAATACCTCGTGGGTTATTTCTGGCATATAAAATCAGATAAAGAAAAGTTAATGGCTGCTATTGACCCAACTTTGGACAAAAAGGAGGAGACATACGAGAGTATCTCCACCATTGCTGAATTAGCTGGGCACTGCACTGCAAGGGAGCCAAACCAAAGGCCGGATATGGGCCATGCTGTGAATGTACTGGCTCCACTTGTTGAGAAATGGAAACCATTTGATGACGACTACGAAGAATACTCTGGCATTGACTACAGCCTTCCGCTGAATCAGATGGTTAAGGACTGGCAGGAAGCAGAAAGCAAGGACTTGAGTTACATGGACTTAGAAGACAGTAAGGGAAGTATACCCACAAGACCAACAGGATTTGCGGACTCTTTCACTTCTGCCGATGCTCGGTAAAAAGATCGATTTGGTTGCCTTTCTTAAGCATGCTCCTTTTCGTAGTGGTATATAGCACGATGGGATTGGCGGCTTACTTATTGAGAACTCACTGTTGATATCATGATTAGATTTTACTTCTTTATCATGATCAAGTTGGGTTTCCAAATTCTTAGGATATCTTGTTCAGCCTTCAAGTATTTGAGTTTTGACCATGATATCTCCAGGAAATTGGTGATGTTGTAGATAGATATGGATCATTGTTGAAGATGATGCTTATCATTCCTTATCTTTTCTCCACAATGATCTCATCATCATCATCATCATCTTCATCTTCATCTTCATCTTCAACTTCTTGAGACGAGGAACTAACCTTATAGGTTTCTCTCCCATCTCATCATCGGCAAAGCCTCCTAATGTATTGTCCACGTTGCCTAGAGGTTCTTTGATGACCTCGAATGTGCTTTACTCAGAGATTAATACATTGCATCATGTGTACCAGAATTACTTTACTGTTAGAAGACAGCATGTGAGATATGTCCTAATTGCTTTTGCTGTGCATGTCCCTGATCACAAATGCTGCGGAATTCGCGCTATGCATAGTTTTTACGAGGAATCTGCTGTTATATAGTCTTTCACTTGAGGTGGTTCGTCTCAGTAAAACGATAGTCAGATGGGGTCCTTTCCTTTCTGTTTTCGCCCTTTGGAATAAGGCTAACGAAAAAAGAAGAAATTATGAACCAGAACTTCAATGTGGAGAGCAAAGTGATTGTGTGGCTTGCGTCCTATACAGGCGAATGAGGTTGTGTCATTTGTCATATTGTTCCCAAACATGAGAACCAAATTTGCCTGCCGACATCGTGCTAGTCGAGCTGTTGAGCATGTGACTGGTAACGTTGCAGTGACGAGCTTTTAGTCTGATCAAACGGGAGACATCTTTTAGGTGGACCCCATCTCGTGACTAAAGAAATACATTTATTTTAGTATATAAAAATGAAAGAAAGAACGGAAAACCAAAAAGAAAAACAGCTGATGATGGTGTTACCGTGTTTTCTAATTTCGTATAGTAGCTTTTTGACTCGATCTATTAAATTTCCATATAAATTTAAGTGACCTTTGACATATCCATGACTATTCGACCGAAAAAAAAAGAAAGAGACATGTCCATGACTAAGTGACAGTGATGTGTGTGAGTGGGAAATTTTTCCATGATGTGAGGTAACTTTTAATACATCATGACTAGCAACTTTTTAATAGTACGGCAATAAGTTTCAGAAACTTAAAAAATATCGGTTATGAATAGCAGTGTGGATAACGTATTTTACCCGATTTTGTGCTCATTGGAGCATGAAAAATAACTAAAATATTTTTTAATTGATATGAAGATAAAGGCAGTACGCTAATCCACAAATAAAATTAGTCTGATCGTTCAAATTATTTTATTTTATCTTATTTGCGCATGCATCGTCAATTCCCGTATGCTAGATTTTTCACAAAAAAGGTATCTTTCCAAAATTGCATAATGTCGACTGCTGGGAACCTACCCAATCGGAATCGGTTCTTAGTTTTTTGAACGTGGAACCAACACTTTAAACTTTGGAACCGACCATGTCGGTCTAGTCCTAATTCTAAGGGCTATTTGAAGACCGGGCAATTCCTTTCTTTTTTTGTTTCATTTTTTGTATTCCTTGAAAAGATAAACTTTAGTAAAATATCCTTTTATTTACAACCAAGACAAATAACAATTACAGAAAAATAATAAAGCAACAACGACAATAGAAGATGCAAGATAAAACTAAAATGAGAGAATTAAGGTTTCTCAGTCCAGTTTCCCAATCCATTCCAGTCTGATTTTGCACATAAAACTGGAAACTGGACCAATAATAGTTGGCTCCAAAAATTTGGAACTGGGAACCGAACTAGCATCGCTTATGTAGGGTTAGTGCGGTCCGGTACCAAAGTGTACCTTGGATCGGTGCTTCACCCCTATTGATTGGTATTATAGATTTTCCACACGTCAACTTTCCTTGCAAATTCGAGAACACATGTTTTGAATATTACGAAAAGATAACATGGAATTCTACATATTTATATTTGTATATTTTGATTAATCTCAAGTTTTTCGTGTTTAATAAAATTTAATAATGAATCAATCAAGATTTGTAAAAGGTCAAAAATAATAAGCGAATAGTAGATTTTTTATATTTTCGTCAAAATATAAAATATCATTTAAATTAGAAATGAAAGTATGTGAATCTATGTGTAACTTATGAAAGTCTCAAGTCCTTGACCTTAAAAAAGGTCGAAGTGCATGTGATATAAAATTTACAAAAAGTCAAAAGTTAAAAATACTCCAAATATTCGACCCAAAAAGAGCAAAGTTACTCCAAATAAGCTTTTAAAATGTACATCTCTCGCGTTTAAAATTTGGGTTTTTTTTGGTCGAGATTTAAAAATTGGGTTTGAATTATTATATTCGCGTATTAAGTTATTAGGTGCCAAAAAAAAAACCATGGACACCTATTGATATCAAAAAGAACTTTAAAAAGTAATCGTTGGTGCATGAGCAAAAAGGAAAATGGGAGTGGAAATGGAAATGAATCTCTGGCCATATAGGACACTACCGATGATGACGTGGCACGCATGGCGCGAAATCTTTTAAAACGAGAAAGGGTCCCACACCATCCACGTGGCCGCCACGCCTTCTCGGGTCGCTTCCTCCCTCCCCCCGAAAGCAAGCAGACGATCTCCTCCTCCTCCTCCTCCTCCTCCTCCGTCCTCCCTCCTCCTGTCATCACCCCAGCAAATCCTCTCTCCCTCCCTCCCTCTCTCTTCTGTACCATCGCCATCGCCACCTTCGAGAAGCAGGAAGAAGAAGATCGAAGCAGACGCGCGGAATTCGGGGGCCATTGACGACCGATCGCATTCCCCATTGCGGTTTCTCTCTCGTCAGAAGCAGAGGAAGAAGAAGAAGAAGAAGAAGAAGAAGAAGAAGATTTGAGCGATGACCGATCGGCTCCCGCGTTCCGGCATTGCGGTTCTCTGATTGAATCGGCGCGAGAGAGAGAGAGAGAGAGAGAGAGAGAGAGAGAGAGAGAGAGAGAGAGAGAGAGTTTAGCGATGGGAGTGCCTCAGGCGATGGAGATCCTTCATGAGCGGGCGGAATCGATCCGCGAGTCGCTGCACAAGAGCCAGACCATCACCGACAGCATGGTCGCCATCCTCGGCTCCTTCGACCACCGCCTCTCCGCCCTCGAGACCGCCATGCGCCCTACTCAGGTCCTCCCTCCCTTCCTTCCTCCTTCCCTCTCCTCTTGACACGAACAGAACTTTTCCTCCGTTATGAGGCTGCACTGCTCGCTGTGCTATTATTTTTCTGTTTTTTCTGTTTTGGCTTGTGCTGGGCGACGGTAGATAAGGACGCACTCGATCAGGAGGGCTCACGAGAACATCGACAAGACGCTCAAGGCTGCCGAGGTCATTCTCGGCCAATTCGATCTCACGCGCAAGGTTTGTCCTCGCTCCCGTTTTGCCGAGTCGAAAAGCCATTGCATTGCATTCCATGCACTTTGTGAGAGAGAGATCCGAGATGATATTCATGCATGCAGAAAACAATGTCCTTGCAAGGAGATTCAGTCAACATTTTTGTGGCGTCTGTTTATGATGAATGTCGTGCGGTCATTAGTGATAATTTAGTCCACTCGGGAGGCATATTTTGCAATTGTTAAACTATTGAAGCAGTTAGCTTGATCTTTGTTCCTCCTTACTTTTACGCGCCCCCGATTATTAGACCAACCAGGGAAGAGTATTGCCTCACACTATTGTAGTCCGATAGAGAAATGTTCGGGCCATACTGGTTTTTAGCGATTCGCTGATAGTGGGTATGCTACAATAACAGCTTCATCTTTGCTGGACATTGAATCTACAACACAAGTTTCTTTTTTTTTTTTTTCATAACTCGCAACTTTAGCATTGTTACCGGGTCACTTCACGTACTTGCAAAGGTAATGTAGATGCTGAGATCGTTTGTATGTATTCACTTAGGCAGAGGCTAAGATCCTCAGAGGGCCACATGAGGACCTAGAAAGCTACCTAGAAGCTATCGATCAGCTTCGAAGCACCGCTAACTTCTTCAAAAGCAATAAAAGCTTCAAGAGTAGTGATGGAGTTCTTAATCACACCAATAACTTGCTTGCAAAAGCTATATCAAAGCTTGAAGATGAGTTCAGACAGATATTGACCAATCACAGGTAATCTACGCCTTGGCCAGTTCTTTGTTTGTCCTGCTGAAAACAGCTCTGTCTTACATCTCTTTTTCCTTGCACCATGCTTGTTTTACCTAAGCGACTATAGCAGAACTATAATCCCAGATTTAGCATGTTATATCTAAAAGGATTTTGGAGTCAAGGAATCAGGGTGTCCTTACTAAGTTTTAGAAGGGATATCAATTGGTTTTTTTGAGTGGATGAATATTTCTCTAGTCTCTGTATTGCAGGCTGTAATTGTTCTTGTGATGATGCAGAATAAATCACAAAACTATGATTAAACATTCAGCTACTAGACGAGGCACTCAAATTTGCATGGGAGTGGTCCATTTCAATAGTTTGTGCCTGTTTGCCATCTTTCTGTAGTCAAACTTTTGTCCAGTCTCTTTATTCTCAGCATTGCTTTTGCAATTTTAATACCAAGTGCATGCTTATATTTTCTAAGAATCAATTGGGGTTTCTATATATGTAATGATAATTTCAGCAAATTAATTTGTTTCCTATTTGATTTTCAGCAAGCCAATTGAACCTGATTGTCTTATTGATTGCCTTCCCAACTCTCTGCGGCCATCAGCAGGATCATCTGGAAACCAAAGTGAAGCTAGTGGCAAGCCTGAGCACCCAAGTAAAACTCCAGATGCTGGAGTTTGCAAACCTCTAGCTCTCATACCACCCAGGGTTCTACCATTGCTGCATGATTTAGCTCAACAGATGGTACAAGCTGGTCATCAGCAGCAACTTTTTAGAACCTACAGGTGCTAAAATCAGTGTCATGCCATAACGCTTTCTGGTTGTTCCAGTTAGCATTTTTTTTATCTGCAACTTTTTGGTTGACCTTTCATCGTCATTGCTTAGTACATTGCTCCATATCAAAAGTCTGGTGGGTCATTCAGCATTAATAAGGAATTTTCATTTTAAATCAATCAACCTTTTCTTTCATATTGATAGTTGAATAAATTTTATGTAAATATCATGGCTGAAAGTAGTTTGGCCTACTATATGTTGCTCTAGAGTCAACAATCGT